ATTATTATTTCTTGAAAAATAAAAGAAAATCAGTATTAAAAAGAATAAAAATATTTAAAATTAAAATATAATAAAAATATCAAACACTAAATACGAAATATTATTAAGTAATTTGTTAATTTATTTTAAAATTTTGAAAAAAAAAAAAAAAAAAAAAAAGACATGGGAGTCGGGTGGGGGACCAACCAATACAAAGCGAGCCCCTGACACAAAAGCCGAGCAACGTCTCGGCCACCGAGCCGATCGGCGCGGGCGTGAAAACTGTCGGCAAATGCCAACACTACTTCCCTCTTTGCTATTTTACCTTGGGGACAAAACTCTCTCTCACGTGCCTCTCACGTGTCTGTCACGTGTCTATCACGTGTCAACTGCAACCCTTTTACAATTTTTTATTTTATTATTTTTTTGGGGGTAAAAAGTAACTTTTTATTACCTTTTTTTTAAAATTATTATTATTATTATTTTTTTTTTGCTTTCTACTTAACATATAATTATACATACACACACACACATTCTATTTTAATTAAAAATTAGTATAAAATAATTAATTAAAACATCTTCAAACTCTTCAAATTGATTTTGAAAGTGCTCAAAATTCTTCTTAGCCTTATAAGAATCTATTTCAGATAATTAAAATATAGTCTTTTATGGGTTAAAAAATAACATATAATTAAAATAGTATTATAATAAAATTATAAACTTATGATAGTTTAGTTACAATATTTTAATTTAATAAAAACAAATATTTAATTATTTGATAAAATTACAGTAATTAAATTACAAAAATTTATATAAATTTTTTATAATATTATATATGTATCAAATATATCGTGATGAATTCTTTTAAAAAAAATTATTTTTTAAATAAAATTTAATAAATGAGATTTTAAAAAAGTATTTATATAAATTTTTTTGTTTTAAAAAATAATTTATTAAAATAATAAGTTACCATTGATATGGATGCATACAAGATCGCTAAATAATATTTGAAAGTCTTATATTTTTAAATAAAAATAAATATTTTAACTAATTATTAATTTTTTTTTTTAATTAAGGAAACTCAATAGTTTTAAAAATAAAAAACCAAACTTCAAATTAGATTAGTTGAAGCTCACATGGATGGATCATACGGTAAAGTATCATTAGTTGATTTTGATATACATATGTGTGTATACACACACACATATATATATATATATGTATATGTATATGTATGTAACTGGCCGACAAGTTATATTCCCTTTTGTAATTAAGAAATTAATGGTAGATTAGACATGTGCTTAGGGTTCTAATGACCTACTGGTAGGTATCTGAGGCTACATCCATTTTAATATAAGAGGATAATTATGGGAGCAAAATGTCTTTTTCTCATCTTGGTTTTTTCAATTCTTATGTCCGATGAACATAATTAATATTGTCCAGTACTATATTTTCTTGTTGGGAACTGAAATATGCATACACACATATATATATATATATACATATGTATTGTACTGTAATTTTCATTACTAACAATATATTATTATAATGTTTAAGAATTTCCTATTTTATTTTAAAATTACCATAATTACAACTTAAAATTTTACTAAAAAGATATCGTATACGTTTTTATATATATATATATATATATTATATGCACCCACATCGATTAGATACTCCATCATGATTGTTAATTTGCAAGTTGACATTTAGAATTTCAAACACACACCATAATCGATTAAATTTTTCAAGAAGCTCTAATGATGAAAATTCCATGATATTGAAAATATGGGTTTTCATCAGCTTAATTTATAATATATATATATATATGTATATATATACACACACCAAGAAACATGTGAAATGATACAAATATTCATATTCTTAATACTGTAAGTAGATAAGTTTCAGAAGATTCGCACCACGCGTTAACTTTTCTTGCAAATGTTCGTAGTGTCAAACTGGAATTTCATTATAAGTTACATGCAAGGTAAAGTAGGAAGCTAGCTAGCTACAGTCTAGACTGAATATATAAATAGATATAGATATAGATATATAATTATAGAAACTAACATGAAGATAAAGAGGATATCAACCGATATATATACTTTGATCTATTCATGTTAGCCTACGAGGCAGTCTATATATACATATATTATACGTTTATGGCAATCAGAGGTCATACATAGGCACTAAACCCTAAAGTTATATAATATGTATGGAGATGGCTTTCTTTCTTTCTTTCGAAAAGAAGAAGATAATATTAGTTTATATGTAATGAATCAAACATTTTTTGCTTTGAAGAGTCAGCATTGCTCGGTGCAGGCGAAGATGATATATATATATGTATTTATATATATACATACACAGACATACGTAGTTTAATATTATTCTTATTTAAATACGTAATGATTATTTCTTCAAAATGGGTCTTGTATAAAGTGATCATGGCATAATTTTTATTATTATTAAATAGGGTTTCCATTAGAGTTTAGGATTCAAGAAATTTATTTATTTTTATATACATATACATATAATTTTTAATTATACGACACAGATACTTATTATAATATAATTTTAATAAAAAAAATATAAAAATATACAATTTAATTCAAATTTATACGTTTTTTAAAAAATAAAAAATATATTTAATATCTAATTAAAGACTTATTGGGTCAAATAATTTACTTAAAGAAGTATATATATATATATATGTCTCAAATATGTTAGGTTAATGTGGGAAATGCATTTTTAAAATAATTTAAAAACAATATTTTAGTATTGACATACCAAAGTTGAATAGGATTAACATAAAAAAAATTATAAAAAATACACATAAAATAATCAATTAAATAGATTTAAAACTATAGAACAAAATTAAAATTATCAATTAATTACATAAAAATTAAATATTAAACAAATATTTTTGGTTTAAACCAAAGTATATATGAACCAGTTCTTCCATGGTTGGTGGAAAAGCAATTGATTGACTTTATTTGTTTGTAAGCCACCCAAAAAATCATTAAAAAAAAATTATGTTAATTAATTAATTAATTAATTATGGGAATTCGTGAGAACCCTCTTGATTTAATTTTTTTTTTAAAAAAAGTAGTGTAATAATGCAAATTTTATTTAATTAAAACATAAAAATAAAACTCAATTAAAGTGCAATTGCAATTGGAAAGAGAGATGGTATAAGTATATATATATATGTATATATATATATATATGGGGTGGGTGGGGTTGTTTGATAAAAATACAAATATATATTGTTGGTGTATGTGCATACCCATCTATATACACCAATACAAATTTTAAATAATTTAATATTGTAAGGAGTTATGGTGGCACAATTTTTTTTTTTTTTAATTCATGTTCTTAAGAATAATTAAATGTTTAAGAATATTTATTATCTAAATTATAGGTAAAAAATATTTATTTTGAAATTAAATTGAAACGGACTGAATTAATTTAAATATTTTAATTTTTTTAAAAAATATATTTTAGTATTATTTATATCTTTGCTAAACCACAATGTGGATTTTTTTATTTAAATTAAAATGAATTTTAATTTTTAGAATATATTGAACTAAGTTTTGCTCACCCTAGCGAAGGAGGGAGTAGAAAGAAAGCTCCTCGTGTAGTGTAGAGTTGTGATCATGTATAAAATATTGAAACGACAATGTATGTATATATATATATATATATATATATATATACATAAATGCAAACTCAAAAAAATGTGGGTATCTCTCTTTTCTAAAAACAAACTCATTATATATGTATATGTATATGTATATATAAAAATGAGAGCAACATAAGAATAGCTTTTAAGCTCTGAATTTCTCTGACGTTCCCACCATTGGCTCCCTCTCTCTCCCACTTTCCATCTCTCCTCTTGCCCTTACCTTTTCCATATATATATATGTGTGTGTGTGTGTGTGTGTGTGTGTATGTATATGTATGTATATATATGTATATTTTATCTTTGATCTGCAGGTATATATTTTTCTCCTACTGATCTTGCCGATAATAAATCAGCAACAAACCCACAAAACCAAAACCTCCCACAACTACTCACCTCCAATTATTTCTTCATTTGGCTCATCATCATCTTCATCTTCATGGTAACTCTCTCTACCTATTCTCTCTTCTTTTCCATTTTCCTGTTAAATTTCATGTTCTTGGTTTCCAAAGGAATACGAGTATATATGTATGTATGTATGTATGTATGTATGTATGTATGTGGGTATTTCTGATTATAGCTTAGTACTGTTCTCTCTGGTTTTGACTGCTCGAGATCGATGCGTGCGGGTCATCTCCATGGTATGTATGGTGTGTGATTTCATTTACTTTTGATAATCTTATGAATGATTAAAATATATAAATAATAGAAAAAATTCATGTTCTTCATTTTTATTAGCTTAATATTTTTTGAATAATTAATATCCTTTTACAATTAGAACTTTGGAATTTTTGGTTTTTTTTTTTTTTTGTTGTTTCACTTATCAATTTTTAATTATACGTAAAAGAATTATATAATTAATTAATTATAATACAATTATTTTGGTTAAAAGAAAAAAAAAATACTCGAAACTTATAAACTTTAGAAAAACTAGTGGAATTTAGTACAATTTTGTTCAAATTAATAAACGAATTTACTAAAAAAAATAATTAATGAACGAAACATAAATTAGTAATTCGATAATTTACTATGAGTATTTAATTTGGTCGCAATAATAAATGTAAAACCAAGAGAAAAGAAATATTTGAGTGTGTGTGTATATATATATATATATATATATATACATGTAGCATATGCTATTTTTACCCGAAAAAGAAAATGATTTTGTTGATCTTGTTGCTAATTTCTACATTAATGAACAAATTAATATATTTTCAGCATTGGATTAAATTAAACTGCAATTAGTGTGATTTGAAAAATTACAGGAAATAAGCTGGCGGAGAAGACAGACTGAATGTGAAGAAATTTGATTCAATTTTCACTTTTCTAGCACATGATGAAACCAATTATAGACCTTGAAGTGGAGGCCAATTCAGAAAATGATTCAGATGTTTGCAGCCAGGTAGCTTCCAACTTATCAATGCACGAAACATCATACTCCGCAGCTGCAGCTCCATCTAACGAGAGCTTGAGCATTCGGAGTAGTTTGGCCAATCCCGAATCAAACCCACAACGAGTTTGCCTTAATTTGGCGCTGTACTTCAACAGCAATGAGCCTGAGACAAGGGACTCGGCCGGCTTGGCAGTGTCCAGCACCAGCGAGAGCAGCAACGAGCCTGCATTGCGAACCACAGCTGCAGCCATCCCTCGAGTGTTTTCGTGCAACTACTGCCAGCGAAAATTCTCTACTTCGCAGGCACTCGGGGGCCACCAAAATGCACATAAGCGAGAAAGAAGTTTAGCCAAAAGGGCAATGAGATATGCCAATTTGGCTTCTCTACCTTTTACCGCGACACCATTTAGGTCTCTCGGGATCAAAGCACACTCTTCTGTCCATCAAAACTTGGCCATACCAATTAGGCCGAACGAAATTAGAAGTGGGGCAAGATTTGAGCACGAGTATCATTTTGGCCTACCGATTTTCTTAGAGGAAGAGCAAGGGGAGATGCTTTGGCCGGGGAGTTTTCGAGAAGTGGCTGATCATCAGGCTGCTGGGAATTCGAGTTTGAATTTCATGGAGGTGAATTTGGAAGATTCTGCACCAGATTTGACATTGAAACTTTGAGGAATTCATTTATATGCTCTATCATTGTCTTTTGTACAGTGAGGCCCCTTTTGGCTTTTCCAAGTGTTCATGATAATCTCTCTGCTATTTTTCTTGTTGTATGTTTGTGATCTTACAGAGGAATTATTCTCAAAATTCTCATGATTTCACCATTTATCATCAGTTTTCTACTTTACCCTAATTTATATATATATATATATTAAGTTGCTGTGGTTGCCGGCCAAGAAATTGAAAGGTGTGAAAAACATTCCTTGTAGGGAGGGGTAAAATGGTAAAATAGTAACAACGACGTAAATGGAAAAAGGAAGCCAAAAGAGGAAACGGCGATTTTGTAAGATGAATCCGAACAGTTACGATTACGCGCCCTTTCCTATAAACGCACCGTTTTGTTAGTTTCCTCTTTAAGCTTCTTCTTGTCCTATAAATTTCTCCTCCCAACTCAAAACCTCTTGACTCACAGTCCGCCACCTCCGCAACGTTTGGCAGCAGAGTTAACGCCATTGATAAACCACGGGGGACTTGAAGGGTATGTACCAGACCCTCATCTTTTCTAATGAAAATTTCAATATACGTATATATACACACGCACATATAATATTTATGCACACCCACATACATATATATGATATTGAAAATCCAATTGGAAAAAAGATGAGACCTTTTTCACCCTTTTCTTTTCTAACGAAAATTTGAACATATACATACATATATATATACACACACACACATATAATGATGTTGAAATCTAATTCATTCAGGCTCCTGTAATGCAAGTATGAAAAGGATAAACCCAGAGGAATTCTACAATCTCTGAATTTTATTTTTTTTATCTACCCTTTTTGTCTTCCCTTGTATTTTTACCCTTTAACCCTCTCTTCTAAAATCACTTTGCTTTCCTTTTCTTGCGCTTCAAGTTGGAAGGAGAACTGCTTTATTTGGATTCTGTAAGTATATAAAGAGCATAAATTTCACACAAGAATTTCTACTCTGCAATGTAGGTCTCTCTGCAGTGGTGACAGACAAGTGAGGAGTCAAATGGGTCATCGTCAACTTATATGTTTCTGGATCTTAGTTTCTGCAATTCCAATATGTCAGTCATGGGGCTGGTTTTCTTCTTCATCTTCTACAGACAGTGACTCTAGCAACAAAGCTTCACAGACTGAAGTTTCTTGTTATGGTTCCATGGCAGAATTCTCCATGGAAAGTATGAATGATCCTAAGGGGATCAAGCTGCTGGAAAATGCTCAGAGAAGATTGGTTGGTTCAAATTCTTGCTGGCAAAATGCTTACAGGCATCTCTTTGCTGGATGCTCAGACATTGTTGCTGCTGAGGAGAAGCGATCCCGGTTTGCTTGGCACCTCAGTGATTGCTTCCAGAAAGATTCTGGTCGGTCTTCTTTCCCTTCCTGCAATGCAAATTCTGCCATGGTTAATTGTCTGAAAAAGCTAGATAACCATGAGCATAAGGTCTATCTTGAATTCTTACTTGAAACCAATACGATCTGCTATCAGTTACAGTTAAGTCTTCCCTGCTACCCACTTGTCTTTTTCCTCTTTACTGGTTCTATAATGGCGTATTCAATTGTATCTAATAAGAACTGTGGTGTTTGTTGTATTGCAGGAGCCATGCATTCAAACACGAAACAGAGAGACTGGTTAATGAACTTAAGAAATCAGCACAATATACAGAGAGCAAATTAGAAAACTTAGACAAGAAATCAGATATTTTATTGCAGAGTTCGAACCAGATTCACGATTCATTGAATTCAGTCGATATTCGGATCCAAAACGTAGTTCAAACAACTCGGGACTTGGGGGAAGATATGGATGGCTTAACGCAGCACACAAAGGTGGTTTATCAGCAGGCTAGGGATATTGCAGCTTCCCAATTGGAGCTGAGACAAGAACAGATGAACATGAATGGAAAGTTGAATGAAGGCATGAACATGCTTCATGATGCCTACAGAAATCTTGGGGAAGGAATAGATTACCTGAGAAATGAGACTATTGAAATAGAAAATGAGATAGACAAACTCGGGGGAGTAGTGTCTTCGAAGATGAGTGATCTGCAGAAAACTGCTGATGATATCGAGAATATTACTGGGATTTCTCTTGGAAGGCAACAAGAACTGCTTGATGGACAATCCACCGCACTTGATGGTCTTCGGTTTCTGACTGAATTTCAATCTAATGCACTAGAAGAGAGCAGGTAAATTAAGAAATGAGATAATAGACATAATGGGAAATTCCGAAAATTCACAGATTTATTTGAATTTCATTGCTGAATTACAGGAATACACTACAAGAGTTGGCAGAATATGGTCGAAGACAACAGGAAGAGCTCCTCAAGCGACAAGAACAGCTTCAACAAGTCCATGATCGTTTAGTCGAGAATTCAAAAACCATATTAGAAACGCAGGTTAGCATTCATCAATCCTCAACAATCTTGAAGAAGTTCATAAGTTAAACTCTGATTTTTTCCCCTTTGGCAGGAAGCTTTTGAAGCAAAACAAGCAAGCATGTTCGTTCTTCTGGACAAGCTATTTGTCTTGCATAATGCAATGCTGCTCGAGTCACGAGTAATTAAAGCTTTCTTCATCTACTCTATTTCAATCTTCATCATCTACATGTTCACTAGCACGAAGCAAACATATATAGTAAGACCTAAGCTATATATAGGTAAGGATATCATCTTCATTATTCAGATTTTGAAGACCTAAGTAGGCTGGTTAACCAAATCTGTGTAAATTTATAGTCTCTGTTTCTAATCCTTGTCATAGGGCTGTCTGCTACATTCTTCATAGAAGTTGCAATCCTTCGGTTCACCACAACAGATATTGAACAACAAACATTGATAATAAATAGTGTCAGGTCACTTTCCGCGGTTCTTGCTTCAATTCAGCTTCTTCACGCCATTATTACATATAGGTATTGTGATGAATACAATTATTTAAAAGCTGCTAAAAATGCAGTTATTCAGGGATTAATAATGTTTTGTACATTATGCAGGGACTATGAAGTTTTGAACCATAAGATCTTACTGACCTTAGTGGAGAAGATCAATGACATGCAAAACGAAGACGAGGACACAGATAGCGATTTCAATTGGTCCTCCTGGATCGATGCTGATTTACCGGACGACATTGATAATCTTGAAGACCCTGATTATAAATTTCCAGAAGAAGCTGGAGAAAACTCCGTGACAGTCTTTTCAGATACAAAAAGATATAATCTCCGACATCGCGGTGCTTGAGAGCTTTGTTAAATAGAAAGCTTCTGTAGAAAAATTTATTAGTAGAACAAAGTATATAACTAACTAATTGTTTTCTTTTACCAATAAATTCTATTCATGTATCAATATTTTGATAAGATCATACCTGAGAAATACCCCGTTTCTTCTTAAGCTTCCTTCAAATTCAACAAAACAAAAATTCAAATCCTCGAAATAAACCTAAATCCTATCCATTATTATCCAGCCTCATTCTTAATTCCCTTGGACTGCTTCATATCTGTAAATCTAAAGCATATTGCTCCAAAACGCCTGACTCAGGCAAAAGTTGAGATCAAGCAAATCCATGAAACTGTATTCTTTGAGGCATTTCATCAAACAGTTTCACCGTCTCCCTAAAACACCCTTACAAATTCAGATTAGCATTGTTCACACAGCTTGATTAGCCTTTCTCTGCAATTTATAACCTTAGCACGAATTCCTCTCCCGAACCACCATTACTTTGAATATACACATGCTTGTCAAAATTCAGAAAAGGCAAATTACCCAGCTCCACAAACTGACATGGGATCTCAAGTTAAACATGCATGGTATCTACATCTGAATGCTGGGATTTGAGGAGTTAATGTAATAGCTATCTACATATGAATATTCTACCACTTCATCATCCCCCAATTTTGCTGGAATATCATTATTGTGTACTTCATTATAGACTGACATGAAATATATCCTCTACTACTGTCAAGTGGAATAACTCTAGGATCTAATGGAACACACCCCTCAAGGAAAATACTCACAGCTATATAGGCAAGGTTCATTTGAACCCGACAGCATTAATTTTATCGTATACCTTTTTCTCCCACTGTTTTAACCTTAAATCAAATCGAAAATTTCGATTGTGATAGAATTGCAGTTTAATCAAGATGGTTTTCATATCTAAACGAATCTTTTTAATTTCTCTAAATATTTACAAAAATCAATTACTCAAACAATCCAATTATCAATTTTTAGTATCTATCAACATATATTCACATAAATCAATCATTCAAATATCGAAGATTGCAAAAAAAAGGGTTCAGTTAAATGATCATACGACAAGCAAAAAAAGAAAAACAATGAATCGAATTATCAATTTTTAATATCCATCAACATATATTCACATAAACCAATCATTCAAATAATCAAAGATCGCGAAAAAAGGGTTCCAATTAAATGATCATAGGACAAGCGAAAAAGAAAAACAATGCATAAAACAGTTTAAACTTATAATAGATTGACCATTGTGTCTTTGAGATTATGCACCACCATAATCTCTCACTATATTTTTTCATTATAGTTCCTGATATATATGTCAATTCCATCTAAAAAATGAACGTATACACACATATATATATGTTTAAATATTTATACATATGAAAAAAAAAGTTAAATGTATATTTGGAATGTAAAAGGAAAAGATATAAAATTCACTAATATTTGAATTTAAAGCTAATGGAATGAAGATCATGCAGTGGAAACTCAGGCAATAACTCCAACAATCTTTCACAGTCGCAACTCTGGTTTTCGCTCCATACAACTTTTACGCTTTTAAAATAGTGCCGCCAGCATCTGGAGTGACTTGAAGCACAACACAATCCTTTCGTTATACTTATTAGTCTCTTGCATAATACCTACAAGGCACAATTAGCTTATAAATTTTATGAGTCGATTTAATTTTAAATATTTATAATATAAGTTTATGCGAATGCATGTGTATGTGTGTGTGTGTGTGTATACACACTTGAAATTTAAGTACCTCAATTAATTGAATGCTTCTAATGAAGTCGAAGTTGTCCCGAGGAAGAATTTTGATGGATAGAATTTGAACTCGAATTGCCCAAATCAATCCATCTACGAAATCTTTATAACTTTCTGATCGCGTAAAATCTTTTACAGTTAATCGCACATGCTTCAAAATTTTATCTTGAAAATTCTGTTTTTCTTTTAGTTCTCGTATCTGAAATTCAACCTGAAAAATAAAATAAAAAATATTTTAAAAATATATAAAGTAAATAAATTTTAAATAAAAATAAATCCTAATTAAATAAATATAAATAAAGACAAACCTTGTGGAAGGAGTTGATGTGCAACTTCAAAATTTTGGCTTGACTAAATGCAGAAAGAAATTGTCTGAGTTGAAAGAACTCATGAGTGTGGAGATGGTTATACATCAATACGAATTTTGCAATTTGAACGGTTGATGTGTTGATATTCTGTAGACAATGCGGTTTGATGTGTCCTCTGTAGGTGAATGAGTTTAGACTAATGGAGTCGTCAAGAACAGGGTGACATATACAGAGAAATGGAGTGGACAGTTCGAGATGTTTAAGGTGAGGATTTGGTATCTTAAATCTTCCATCGATGTAGCATAGGCGGATTTGCAGAGACTCAAGGGATGGGAAATCAGACAACAACGTTAACCATTGTCGAGTAACTTTTATATTTTCAAGTTTCAACAATTTCAATTTCCTACAACCCGTTATCTTCACACGGCATGGGATGCCGTAATAATCCACGGAATATACGAACGATTCGAGATTCTCTGCTTGATCAATGTGGAGACTTTGAATGCAGCCTCGGGCAAGGTCAAGGGATTTGAGTTTCGCCAAACCGCACAGTCGAAGAGAAAACAAGTCGGAACAGCTGATTATAGAAAGTTGTTCAAGTAACGGGCATGAATTGATGAGACTCATAAGAAGGTTTTCGCTTGATTGTATTTCCCGGAAGTGAAGCTGTTTGAGTGAAGGAAATTTCAGAGAATCAATGGAGTAACCTTCAGGTTCACTCAACCGACCTCCACAAAGCTCTAGAACTTGGAGAGACTGAGCGTAGATGCTCGGAGGGAAAACAGAAAAACGATTATATCTCGGTCGGTTCAGATGAAGATGCTTAACATTGTGAGCTGCGGCCAATTTAATCCAATGATCGAGATAATCGGGCAGGTGGAGGTGATAATTCTTGACGCATAATTTAAATCTTTGCAGAGAAAGCCTCTGTTGGTTGCAGAGTCTTTGGAGATGTTCGTTGACGAAAGGAACGAAAGGATCCGTATATGAATCCCTGTCGGGAAAAAGTTCATCGTCGAAGTCGGAGATGAGAAAGGAAATCCAGGAGCTACGCCATGCGTCGCCGAGGACGGTGGTGCGAGCGGCTTCGTTGAGGGGGAGCCGACAGAGAATGCGACGGAGAACGTTATCCGGTAATTCAGAAATACGATCCACACCGGTCTTCTCCGCCGCGCACATTCCGATTCGGTGTGAATTCAACATAGAAGGGTTCGTGTTAGTTAATGGCATCTGCGTACGCGTCTGCGTGAATATATATACACACACACATACATACTCCGAATTATTATTCAATTCGTATTCCTAATTGTAACCTAAGTTGTTTTATTGATCGTCACTAAAACGACGTCGCAGCCTCTCTCTAATCTCTCTCTCTCTCTCTTCATCACACGGATGCTACGTTGATGCGTTTCAGGAGTTCTTTTGGCGATCGTCACCGAAACGACGCCGCAGCCTCTCTCTATCTCTTCAACAGTGACGCGCACGAAATCAGAAGAACCTTGTTTGGAGAGCCACCAGGTTTTTGGCTAGCGACGTTGGTACGGCGTCGTTTTGGTTGTTACGACCTTTTTCACAAATAAATTTTAGGCTTTAAAATTGAAACCCCTTGAGGGCTTTATTGTAACTTTCATTGAAACATGCATCACCAACTTCCTTAACAGTTGACAGAAGAGAGCAGTGTGTGTTTGCATGACTTGACCTCCTTAAGACCTCGTTGATCGGGTTTTCATCTCCCCTGTCATTGTCACCGAGATCAAACCTTCAATCCTCCCTCGTCTCCGGCGATAAAACTCACTTACCCAGTTACAGGCCCTGTCAAGACTCGTGTTTTTCATCGTCCGTCTGGATTCTACTGTTGAAGGGAATCCCTGGATCGAGCTTTGCGACCATCTCTGTTCCGTCATTGATGCGGACGACTTCAAGAAAACTCTCCTGATTTGCCGTGAATTGTCCTGGAATGTGGGTGAAGAATTCTTTTCCCCTAAGTTTGATAAAATATAACTCCTTTACGTTGCAGAACTTGGATTCGCCATACGAGATGACAGAACGCGGAATGAAGGAAGCCATGGACGCAGTGAAGAAGCTGGTGGGTAATGGTGATGAAACGTTTGGCTGGAGTATTTGGATGTTTGGCCGGATTAATGATGTGGTGACGGTCGATGTAACACGCAAGGAATTTTTGTAGGAACTGGTTGACTGGATATCGGGATTTTTTGAGTAAGTGCGGCTTCTGATGCTTGAGATTCCTTGTTGTTTTTGTGATGATCAATAAATGGTGATTGTGGTTCAATGATTACCTAATTAACCCAAACACATATATTACAATTGCCAAAAAATAATACACATTGGTGTAGTATAAAAATATATAGACATTTTATACTGATTTGTTCTTGGTAATTGTGAATTATATCTTTGATTATGATATATAAAATGATAAATGTGATACCTCAATGTTGTGTTAGAAAATTGATCCAAGTGATATATTATCAATAAATTGAGAAGTCACTAATTCCATATATTTGTTAGTAATTTCAGAAGGGTTTGGATTCCATTTCCAGTATAAGTATAATCATTCCCAACAGGAAATGGCAGAAAAGAAGAAGAAAAAAACTGCATTACAAATATCTTAACAAAATGCACACCATTACTCTTAAAACACCAGAACTGAGCTTATTCACCGGACCAAGAGAACACCTTGAACAGATGCAAGACCGGTATAAACCCAGTAGTGTAGAGAATAATCAAGTGTATCAATTTGTAGATACAAGGAATCACGAAACTGATTGATATAGCTGGTATTGAATAAGGAGCTACCAGCCAACCACCAAGCAATCCGTATATTACCATCACAAACACAGAAGCAATTTGCTAACAAAAAACCAACTAAAACTCAAAACAAGGTAAAGCAGCTATAAAACAAGGGCAAAGCTGAAACTGTCAACTTAGGCTCACTCATTCATGTCATCATCACTCCGATATACATCATCGCTTAAATCAAGATCAGCAAGCAGCTCCTCGATAGGAACAGAAGGCACACCCTCGCCATCAGTCATGGATGTTGTTTCCGATGGCTGGTAACCCCTGTTGCGGTACAGTGATATGTTGAACCTCAGTTCAGGGTTCTCCTCCAGATCTCTCAAGAACTCTTCATATTCCACATTCATCTTGTTTTGGTCAGTTCTACCTCTCGAGTCATCAACTTCCATGTTTAGGGACTTGAGCTTCCAAGCACGAGATTTACTGGACTTCCTCTGGCGCTGCTCTTCATAACTCTTCTTTATTAAAATTGCCTCTGGAAGAGCAAAGTTGTTTCCGTACTTGTCCAGTTCAATGTCATTACTGTTAGCCCCATAAAGGTCATAACCAAGCGCCTGATCCCCAGGTTTCAATATGTGGCCTAGATGTGTTCTAATATAGAAAATTCTACCAACATCAGATTCACGTGCTACTTGGACATAGGACAAAGCATACTTAGAACCACCAACATTAACTTCACCAAAAGGAAGCTCCACATCAAATACAATGTACTTCACAAGTTGCCTGCTAGAGAGTAGAGACCTAAAGGATGTCCTCCAATACTGATCAGCATCCAAGAAACAGTACCTCAGGGACAATGGATCCAGCAAAGCAATGCTGTTTGAGATTTTTGTACAGATTACAAGAGGACCAATATTCCCAAGACTGTGAGCTACCTTTTGAGGCAAGCAGATTAAATCCTCGCGACATATGGGACAGATTTCAGCAGAAAATGTGTACTTATAATTATAGTTATTGCTCTTCGGATCATGGGAAACAAGCTGCTTGTCATGACGGCTCCTCACAGGAACAACTTTAGTGAGAAATTCTACAAATTTAACTGCGTGACTCCTATTAGAAAAGAAAAAGTCAATTCCTTGATCCATCTGCTTGATTCTAATGGCACGGGCAGCAGCATCATGCTTCAAAATCAGTTGTTCCAGATAAAAAAATGTTCGTCTGTGGGCCACATGCTGCCGGAGCTGCACTGCTGCCACCCACTGGTCAGGGTTGGCCTGCACTCTGGAGCAAGATTCACACATGTGATCTTGTACAACATACTCAACAACATAAGACTGTTCAAGAATTGCTCCATTCAGAACCTCTTTCTGAACTTTCAGCTTCACTTTGATTCTCTTGGAGTGAGGCTCCGTCCAAACAAATTCTGCATGTACCAGCCTAACTTTATTCAAGTTCTTCAGTTTCTTTATGCAGAATGTCAATAGATCCTTTGACTCTAGTTGAGCTTTAATCCAAGTTCTAGGCGGCTGCAAGTAGCTGTCACATTCAGGGCAGTGCAAAATGATAACATGCTTCTGCAAACCTTCCGTGATGTCAACTTCAGAGCGCAAACAACTCACACACATATTGGCAGCATTTGGTGCCATTGGAACACCGCAGTTGCAGCACAAGACGCTACCAACAGTTTGTGGAACCATAAACATACCTGCATCTTGAGCCATGGCTGATAACCATAACATCATTAAGAGAAAGAAAGGCACCATGTACGTCGGACCATATGGCATGTGTAAAACAGAAACAAAAGATAATAAGTATAAATAAAATGTTTTGTGGGATATGAGAGAAAAAACAGCAAGCAGACTTGATTAAACACCCAAGAAATTCAATTCAAGGCACTTAACTTTCATATGAATTTTTCATATCTCAAATAAATAATAGTATTTTATGGACTTAAGTAATCATCATATTTAAAATTTAAGTTAGATTTCAATATTCATATAAGGTCTTTTATTTTTCCTACGTTCTAAGTTCCATAAATCTAATAGATTTTGAAAAAGACATCCTCAAATTTTATATGAAATTCACTTAGATAAATTAATATCTAAACATACAAACTGTAAATTTACAAATAAATTCCAAAATCCTTCCGCTCCAAACACAATACAAATGAATTAAGTGTCCCACAGAGGTGCCCTATAAGAATCCTAGATCATAATTGAATTTTGAAATTCAAAAACCACAACCAATAAGCAAAATCTAGGTTAGCAGATTGAATGGTCGCAATACAGTTGACAATTCCCGAAAAATTAGTACATTATTAAAAGATTGAAAGGAAATCATTACTTATCCTATTAAGAGCGAGATCAAACACTAAAAGATTTGCTAGTCAGAAAAGAAAAACCATGTTCAAAAAATAGTTCCAGGTAAGAAAGTGTAAGCACCAACAGGGGCTTATTATTAAATCTGGTAAAAAGAAATTTCATCTCACTAGCTCTAAACTAAAAATATTAATGAAAATTTAAAAGATTCAAGAACATTCATGGTGATTCATATTTTTCTAACTTCTAGACAGTAGCAAGCCATCACAAACATTCATGACGAGGCGTAATTCAGTTGTCCTTAAATAAGTAAAAATGAAGTAAAAATAAAATCTAACAAAAACAAAAAATGCAACTCAATTCACTTTCTATTCCATCCTCATTAAGCATCACCAGTCAACTAAACAAAGATAATCAAGCAGTTAAAAGTGTGAAGGGCAAAAAATTGACAAACTACACTTTATTAAACTCAAAACTCATTGATTTTCTTGTTAGACGGCATTGAACCATTAAAGATAGGGTTGGCCTCCACAACCCCTAGAGCGAAACTGCATTCAGACTTACTTGCAATTTTTGCAACAACATGCCTTCTAGGAACACAACTTTGATTCAAAAAGGAATCCATTAATTGCAGAGGATCTCAAAATCACTACTCTATCCTTTCTCTAATTTTTCCATCCCACAAAAGAAAATAATAATAATAATAATAATAATAATAATATATAGGAACACAACTTTGATTCAAAAAGGAATCCATTAATTGCCGAGGATCTCAAAATCACTACTCTATCCTTTCTCTAATTTTTCCATCCAGCCTCAAAAACTTCTTTCCACACACCCCATGAGGCAAATCAATGAACCAAGAGAGGATTTGCAGCATTAACTAGTGGTTGTCCCATTCATTTGCATATACCACATAGCGTCAGTCATATGCCTCCCCAAATGTATCTCTTGGGCTTAATTGGCATAAGGCGTTTATGTAATATGGGAAACATCTTTAGCATGCTTTGTAAGAAAAGATCAAATGTAAAATGGATGATTATTTACTGGATGCCTGAAAATCAAGAAGGCAACTTTGACACCAAGGTATTAATCTGAAACAAAGACAAAAAAAAAAAACAAAAAAAAGGGAAAGGAATCCCAGCCTCTAAAAGCAAACAGCATGAAGCTGAAATGAAGTACAAAGAAGGCCAAGTTTGTTTGTGCTATTTGGAAAGGCCTCTACTACAAGATTGAGGAAAGGAAATAAAACACCATAAATAACAATAAACTCAGATTACTTCAATGAAATTCATTTGACCAAAACATGCACGTCACGGGCAATTGAAACAGAGGAAGAACAACGGAAATTAAGCAATAAATCACAAGTATCAAAGATGATAACTATTTCCATTTATCTCAAATTCAAATATGAATTCAAACGGGAAGAATAAAGGATTAAGTTACCCTAACCGTGAGCAATAACAACCGACTCTTCTTTCCCTTTTTGGAACCCTGACTGAACACTTGAAGGAACTTTCCCTATGTTCTCAATCAATCAAAACCCTAGCCTCAAAATCAGACTGTGAATCCCTCAAAATGTCCTCTTCTGTGCAATTTCTCCTCAGCCGTCTTCTGCTTCTTCTTCAGACGTCTACCCTGGCGGCTCTCTCTCCTCTCCCTCGGTCGAACAGATTCATATACATAATTTCGTTCGGAGAAAAGAGAAAAGCGTGTGATTCCCCAAAACGGTGTCGTTTTGATGCTTGGAAGGGAAATTGGGCTTGGTGGGCTAACGTTTTGGGCTTTGGGTGGTGGGCTTGAACTAGTTTCTATGCCGAGATTAATTGTGCTCAAAAACTCGTGGTTAGTGCTTCGATTCATTTCTTCGTAAGTTCGAATCATGGATTACACATTCTTATGCATTTTGTTACTAAACTTCGTTAGCATCATTTAATTAATAAAATATATGAATTATATCTAAAAAAATTATGTCATAATATTTTCTTCAATCGAGGAAAAAAAAACTTAAGAGATTATTTAAATTACAAATTTGAATTAATGAAAATAAAAAGTAATGGAAATGGGTTTTGCCAAAAAGTAAAAAGAGTTGTGATGGGTTTGTGAAAATCAAAAACTTTTGAATATGAAATTCGAATCAAATTTGATAACGTTAATAAATTTGATACTACTCGATAGTAAAAAAAAAAAAAATCAAAGTGAGATGAAAAATTAAACGACGCCGCAAGTTACTATATCATTTTAGTTCCATTGGTTAGAGAATCGAGCCCAAAACTCAGATCTAATTTTATATAAATCGTATATTGTAACTTTGACTTTTTTATTTTTTTAAAAATATTAATCTGCTCTTGCAATTGGGTTGTTGCGATTACGGGTTGGGTGTCTAATTGTCCATGCGGTAATGATAGTATGTTGTGCCTGAACCGATGGCTCACTTTTTCTAAGTAATGAAGAAGATGATCAAAACGTATCACTGAAAGATTATACTGAAATAAATATGGACTGTCAAGAACATAGAGGAAGTAGTATGGTCAGTTGGTCGGATCTAGTATGGGTCGTACATGGACGGTAGTTGGAGTCGGTAACTCTACTAGGGTTCCCTCGTCTGGGACAATTTTTCTAAGACTTAAATTTCAAGAAATAATAATTTTAGATATATGCAATAAGCCCAGTTAAGGCATGGAAGACAAAGCACTTAAATTAATCTCAACCCAAGGCCCAATCAATTCATATTCTTTTTTTTTTATCTTTTCTTCTCTTTTTCCCTAACAAAAAACATTATAATACATATATATGTATATGTATGTGTATGTATATACGTATACGTATATGTATATGTGTTTTCCAGTCAATTAATGCCATGATTAGGACTCATACTAAGAATAAAGGTGACCAGAAAAAAAAAAAAAAAAAAAAAGTGTTCGTTAGTTAATTTGAAAAATAAAATCCTCTTGCTATGTACAACACAAACGAAACACATAAGCAAGTTTTAAAGCAAAGAGAATTTGTCTTATCAAATAATAATAATAATTCATTATATTGAAAAAAGTAAACCAACATATATTAAATTTATTATTATTAAATTATAATACAATATCAGCAGATAAATAATAACTTACAGTCAATTTAATGATAAAATTAATATACTAATAAGTTAATAAAACAAATTCCAAACTTAAAGATACAAATAGTAAGTTAGCCATATAAATATTACGGATGGAGAGAGATATACGTACAATGATGATGATGATGAAATGAGATGTATATATATATATATATATATGGTATGATGGTATATAAAACACATGGGTGTGGGAGTAAGTGGGGGACCCACATTCATACATTGATGTAAGACTTGATAACCCAAAATCTGAAATAGCCAAGTGGGTCCACGTCTACATACACGTATAGATACAGAAATACAGTTACTAAATATATATAAATAGAGAGAGAGAGAGAGAGAGAGAGAGGGGGAGGGGGAAGGGAGTAGACACAGCGCGCTTTAAATGCGGGGCAGACAATAGGGTCAGAGACTTTTGTCAAGGACAATGTCAGCCTCTCCTCCTTAGGCCCCTTAACAAACGCATGATGTGATTGCTCACTCACACATCCTCCCACACACACACAATTTTATTCACCCATTTTCTTTAAAAGAATTATTATTTTCTATAAAATAATAAAAATGTATTTTACATACCCATAAGAGATAAAATATTAGTTTCTTTAAATTTGAAATTAAAAAGGAGAAGAAGACATGCATATGGATGGTGTATGATTAAGAAAATGATGATGATGATGATGATATAGTCATGATAGCCTCATGATAGTCTCTCTCTTTTTTTATTTTATTTATTTATTTTTTAATCTCTCTCACTTTTGTCTGTCAACATAAAGTTAAAAAAAAAAAAAAAAAAAGCTTGGGTTAAAAAGGGAAATAAATGCATTGGGAAAAGAGCTCCACTTTTTAATTAATTAATTAATTAATTAATTATATATTGTATTGAAAAAGTAATAAATAAATAAATAAGAGAGAGAAAATAGAATTCAATCATAAAGCAATCGATTACAAAATCATTTCCTCACCTCTCACATCACACTTCACCCATCTTTTCTGCTGGTGCCAGAAAAGTGCTGTGCCTTCTAAAATTAAATTTTATTTATTTATTCTTAACTATATATATATATATGTATATGTATGTATATAACATAGTTTGTAAAATAATAATAAAAAAAAATATTAAATTAATTAATGTTTGGAGATGTGGGTCACCCACTTCAACATCTTCATATGTCAACTTCAAAGTGTACAACTTTGTGCCAAGTGTCAATATTTATATATCTCTAACACACACACACACACGCACACACATATATATATATATATTTTTTTTTCATCTCTTTTTTTTTTTTTTTACTTACTCAATTTTTCATTTAAAGGTTTCTTCTTTTTTGTTGTTGTTGTTGTATATAAATATATATTCTAATTATAAAGAATAATTTTATTATAATTTAAATCATGTAGTTTTTTAATTTTTAATTTTAAAAAAAATATTTTTAGTAGAAATACATGAAAATTTAAGACTAAATAAATGATTTTTTTTTTGGAGAAATAAATAAATTTATTTAAAGTAAATTATTAAGAAAAAAAGCAAATTAAATAATTTCCACTCTCAATTATTATTATTATTATTATTTTGTGGGTTATTGCTTGATTTAGGTATGGTAGGAGCATGTCGGTATAAGGGTGGTGCAATGCCACATTAATTCTTTGGCTCTCTGGTCTTTCACCCTCAACATATTCGCTTCTCAAACCATATATACATATATATACACACACATTTATATATATATATATATATGTATGTTAAATACTGGAGCCCAGTTTATCTCCAATAATCTTCTTTCAAGAGTTCCTCACGTACCAATTTCCTCATTCATCTCTCTCAATAATTGATTCATTTTGCGAGTTTAGAAATATTTAATTTTGAATTAAATGCCTATTCTTTTTAATAAAAATTAATAATTTTTTAACCCATATTGTGAGAGATTTTGTATATGGGTGTGTGTGTATGTATATGTATATATATAGAATTGGAAAGATTGAAGAAGCCAATAAACTGGTGAGTTGATTTTTTTTAAGGGCTGACTTGGAAAATTTTCAATTAATAATCAACGTGGCTAAAGTGGTCCTTGCTTTAATCCATCTTGTGAACATGTGAACGTGCCCCATAAAAGTGATGAAACATTCGATTGTGTAACGATGGCAGAATTACAGTGATATATATATATGTATATGTATACGTATACAAACACTATAATATGCATATACTTGTGTTACATACGTCAATGGTACATCCATGGAGGGGCATGCAGGCTGTTGTCGTGAACTAATGATGTAGATAACTCCTGGTATGTCAACTTGTGCTGCCGTTCATTCTTGCTTTCTTCAATTTTCTTCAAACTTTACTTCTATTTATAAAATAAAACAATATATAATATTACTCACCATGTTCGACACGATTTGGTTTCGGCCTATTCGAATTTTTTTTGGTAAACCAAAATTAAATTGAACCGAAACTCTGATAATACTAACTATTTCGTTCACTCGTGTGGCATCGTCGTTACGTATGCATCTTAAATATGTTTAGAACACCTACTCACAAGACAAATTATTTGTTAGTTTCTTAATAGTACGTAAAATCATAAGTTTTAAAAACTAAAATATACTTTACAAAAAGCAATAACAGATGTTACTTTAGAATAGAAAAAGAAACGGATTGAAAGATTCAATTGAAATTTTCTTCTAAAAGGTAAAAATTTTATATAATACGACGACCGAATCGCAATTACTCGATCAAGTTTTTATTATTTTAATAATATTTATAACTGACTCAACAACTCTTTGTATTTCCTATTATATACTAACTATGTGTTATTCATTATATTTATATAATAAATATTTATGATATATATAAACCCAAAATTGATTTCATTGTGTTGACTCTTGTAGGATAATACACATGGGTCAAATAGTTAGGTTGAGTACTTTGTGAGAGATCTAGAGAGAGAGAGAGGTATTGTTTAAAAAATTGAAGTTCAAAATTTTAGAAGTCAACTTGGACCAAAATAGTAAAAATATTCAAAGTTACCGTATGCAGATATTTTCACTTACACCAACTTTAATTAATTTAATAATTTATAAATCATTTTCTTTTAAAAAAATTTATAGGGTAGAGTTATTATTTTACATGATATATAATTAATAAATGTATATATATATATGTACCCTATTCAAGAAAACAAAAATAACTTTGACTCAGGGACATGCCTCAGAGATTTGTGGGCGCACATACGTGCATCTAATTAATTAAGAAATTAATTTAAGATTATTATAAATATATATATATATACATAATGTACATCTTAATTCTGTGATTTGATTTGATCCGCTGATCTGGCAAAAATTAATCAGTTTATGTTTGTCATAATTAACATATGTTAATTACTATCAAGACCGAATAATCATTATTATTAACTTAATTAGTGATATTCAAACTATTCAATATTTGAAATAAATTAAGTAAATAATTTCTCGGGCTTTTTGGCTAAGATCTAGCTGAAGTAATTAATGTTAATACAAATATTAAATAATCTAGTGGTAGTTGTGGAGCATAACTCAAGTGAAA